TGATGGCGCATGCCTGTAGTCCCAGCTACTCAGGAGGCTGAGGCAGAGGGATTGTTTGAGCCCAGGAGTTTGAGGTTGCTGTAAGTGAGGCTGATTCCATGGCATTCTAGCCTGGGCAACAGAGCCAGACTCTGTCTCAAAAAAAAAAAAAAGTGCATTTTGCCCCCAATTCCCTGGGACTGCTATACCCTGTCCTTACTAGGTTTTCCTCCATAGCACTGGTCAATTTCTGTATGGACTCCATGCTTGTCCCCCCATTCATATGTTGAAGCTCTACCAAATGTGATGGTGTTAGGAAGTAGGGCCTTTGGGAGGCAATTAGGTCTCGATGGGACTAGTGCTCTTGCAGGAAGTGACAAGAGATTGCTCTTTCACTCTCTCTATGCCCCACCCTGGGGGCCATCTGTCTCTGTAAACCACAGAAGAGGGCCTTCACCAGAATCCCACCATGCTGGCACCCTGGTCTCAGACTTCCCAGCCTCCAGAATTGTGAGATAATAGATTCATTTTGTTTAAGCCACGCAATCAATGGTATTTTTGTTATAACAGCTTGAACTAAACCTTTTAACATATTATGCAATTTATTAATATTTATTTTGCATATAGTCTCCCCCCTGCACCTAGAATATAAAGGCTCGTGAAGGCAGGGATTTTTGTCCGACTGCTCACTGCAGTAGTCACAGCACCTAAAACTGCGCCTGGTACATGATAGATACTCATTTTTTTTTTAATAAATCAAACTAGCAAAGGATAACATGGAAATGGACTCAGGCACTTGCTGATTCTATGATAAGGAGCATGGTTGCTGCTGGTCACATGAATGCTTGCACTTGACCTCAGACATCACCTGCCTCCTCCATGTGATAGTCTAATGCTCAGCAACATAAGCCACCGTTCAGAGGGTAAATATTAGTGACATATTTTAACATACTCACAAATGCAGGAAAAGGAATTGAGAACTATTGAGGATATATATGCATGGAAATAAAAAGTCTAAGAAGGTTGGCACGTGCATTCCTTATTAATGGGGGTTTGCCAACTGAACAAAACATGTTGTGGGAAAAACAATGCAACAATCACATAACAAAATCCTTGAGCACAGAAAAATCCTGCCCTAGCATTTCTTTCCTCACATCATCTCTGGTGTTTTTCCTGGCTCACTTTCTCAAATCTGCTACAATTTGGTGGAAATTATCATTAAATGGAAAATAACTTGATATGAGGACATAAAATGAGAGAAAAATGCCTGCGTCTAAAATTCTAAGATTTAGACCATATTTCCCACCCCAAATTATACCATTTAGATCAGAAAACTATTCAGACTCTTTATTGCTGACAACAGAGTAAGAAAGGCCAAGAATGACAGAGAAAAACCAAAGTGAAACCACTCTTCTTGAAACGGGGAGAGAGTTGGCAAAACCTTGTCTGGCTGCTCTAGGGAACAAGGTTGAGGAACAGGGCCAAGATCCTTCTGGAAAATAAGATGTTAACATGTTGATTGGTGGGTAAGAAGCAGCATTTTTGATTATGCATCATCCTAAAGGTACCCAATTCCATTTCTATAGTCTAATTTTATAGCATTCCTGGGTTACTTGGTGCCACTTTAGTGGAATTTATTTATTCATATGCTTACATTTTTATTATTCTTGTGCAGACATGTGAAAATCAGTTTCCCAAGCAGTTGAAAATTTTTTCATACATTTATAAAAAGGAAATCCTGAACCATTAGGATTATTTATTATAACTCACCATATGCTACCCTTTATCTGCCAGGACATGTGGCACCTAGAGCTCAAGGCAGAAGTTAAAACATGATTAAAGAAATAAAGTATTTTTCATTTTTTTAAATTATGAGCCTATTCTCATTCACCTATGATTGAATGTGCATTGTTACTGAGGACAATTAGAAGAAAGAAAAGAGGACAATCATCAGGGAAGTTAAAACAGGGTGACCCATTTCCAGTTAAATCAAGCCTCTATCCCAGATGGGCCATTTTGTAAATTAGAAGGCTAGATGCATTATCTTTCCTGATGGTCTCTCTGTGTGTATGTGTGTTTGCGTGTGTGTTTGTGTGTTTGCTGGGCGGGGATGGTGGGGGAGAGTACTCAGGAGCCATCCACTTTAACTTTTCTGCCTTCAGGCAAGGATGTGGCCTCTCCATGGTTTTGTTTCCTCTTCTTATTGCCAGGGTCAGATGAATGACAGCCTCCTTAGATGTGTTGGTTTTTACCATCTGGAAGTTGCTTTTTAAGTTAAATTTCCAAATTATCTTTATGATATGTATGCCTATTTCCCTTACCATAGCTAGAGATAACCATTTGCCATTGCCTTCTTTATAAAGTCCCCATCTTTTGCAGTTAGTCCTTAAGATTTGCTTTGAGCTCTCTAAGCCCCCAGAAGGCTGGGTCTGTGATGGAGTGTTAAGTGGTCAGGCTAATGGACATTCATCTTGCAGCACCCTGGGACAGTGAAGACGAGTGGGGTTTCTTCTCTCCACATCCATCACTTTGCCAAGTCTCCTCCCTTGCTTTCCTTGGGGACTACATAAAGAGGCTGAATATTCTGGGACCACAAAAAGGCAGAGCACAGTCAGGGCACTAAGTGCTGGGGACCGACCCTGGGGTTTGGGAAAAATTGTCAAGAACAGGGAAGACAAAGTTATTTCACATCAAAACTCCAAAAGACATGGTTCTACTAACTGTAAACACGTTTTTGCCCCTGGCATACAGGAAGCACATTATTTAATTCCGTTGTTAATTAAAATAAGTACTTAAGTTTTTAAGAGCAATAATAAAAAAGCACTCAGTGGAAGAATGGAGGCTGTTGAGAATATGAAGAGGGTAAAGTAGAAGGGGACAGAGATATTAGTATACCAAAAGCAGCAATACTTTTCCTTCAATGATGTTATTTGAATACTTGGCTCATTTCTCACTTTCTGGTCCAATCTAAAGCTCCAAATTTTAGGAAGAAACCTGATCCCTGAAACTGAGACAGCCTGTACAATAAAAATTTTCAGAGAACCCTAATAGCCAACCCCATTATAGAGCAATTCTACTCTAAACTAAAACCTTTTTTATAGAAGTAATAAAAGGACACAGATGGCATCAGAGATTTTTAAAAAAAGCAATACAGATGTGTGTAGATTATCATTTTGCCACAATTAGAAGTAATTCGGTCACATTTTTTGAAGTATGATAGTAAATAATTTGGCAGCAAATTTTTAAAGTTTGAAAGTATTTCTCTTCTATTCATTTCAATAATACAAATACCTGGTTAAAGTCTTAGTTTTATCAGATAATGAAAAGAGGCACAAGGGAGTCTTAAAAATTGCTACATATTTGGAATTTTTTTTTCTACTTAATAAAGATAGATCAAAGAAACTCCCAAGTTTGGAGAAAGTAAAGCCTAGAGGTATCCAAATAAAGGACATTTTCATTTCTGAGTGAGACAAAGAGTGAGTGTCTTTATTTCACAAGCAACAAAATCCACTAAGCTTTTGTTATCTTATAAATTAAAAGACATTAAGTCATCTCAAGATTTAATATTAACTATGGTGAAAGATGTGTAGACTTTATTCTCCTTTCTAAAAATGTGTTGGTTACATACACTGCATTCATCTATCTCGAAACAGCATATTCTATCAGAGAACGTTGTTACATTCAGCCATGTTTTAACCTTTCCAATGCTAATAGCTTGTGTCTTCCTAGGAGAAAATTGGAAAGAAATACTTCAAGGTTTAGAAAGGGCCACTACTCGTGTCTGCAACAGAAAGCTGCTTTCTCATAGCACAGCACACATGAAACTTCTCATTGTGTGCTCACTTGGGAGGGGCGTGCATCATTTAACATTACAGTGGGTTGAAGCCTCTGTCTGAAATAATGAAAGGCATCAGAAAATAGGTTCACGCTAGTCAGAACTGAATCCAAATACTTAAAAAAAATTTTTTTAAAGAATCTGTGTGAATAGTTTTCCTTACATATTGTAGGTTTTTCCAAACCTTCAACAATTTTTCACAAGGAATGATCTAAGCCAAATTAAATGTAACATGGTCTAAGCCAAAGAAATGAACTGGTAATTTTCTTAAATGCCTCATTCTGAATGTAGATCTGTTCTTGAAAGCTATGACATTGAAACCATCTTTTCTTAAGACAAAAATATCATTTTATATTTTAGTTCAGAAATCCATTTATTAACATTCGATTTTTAGTTTAAAATAAATAGACTTCCTACTTGCTCCCTGATACCCCCAAAATAAGGAATGATGACAGGGTGGGGCACACTTGTAGAAAAAGCTCTGACACAAAAATAATACCCACTGTCTCTGGAAGCAAACCTAACTAAGGTCCAACCTAAGGATTTTTTTTTTCTGTGTAATGCTATCATTGAGCTCCACCCAGATTTGACTGTACTTCAATGGCAGAAAAATTGTCAGAAAAAAACCCAAATCGTCTGCTGTCTATTTGTTTGCTGGTCCTCAAAGGCACTCAGAATTCAGAGGGTCGAGTCATGCATGCATTATGAATGAATGGGTTTCCAATGGTAACTGGGAGCCAGGAACTCAACCCCAGGGTTCTCTCCTAGAGGACAAGGTGGGGGGAGGGTCGCACGGCACGTTTTCCTCCACCCTGGGGTAGCAAGGAAGGAATCCTGCAAATTAAATATCTCATCCCCATATTTGCGCCCAACAGAGAGATGCAGGGGGAAATTTTCTTCTATTTAAAACAAGCCAAGATAAACGTTGAAATAAAGGCTAGTAAAAATAAAAATCTAATCAGATCACATTAGAACTTGATACGAAAATCTTGCATGAGTTTCTCCCCATACTTGTTAATTTGGTGTCTTTGTTCAGGCAAAGATCGGGTCGCTATTTTACAGCTATAGAGCATGCAGCATCACCATGAGAGGAAAAGGAAAAAAGAAAAAGCCAGAACAGAGAGAGCAGGAGAAATCAGTTATCCACCTGGCATAATGCTAAGCAGTTTGAACATTTGAGACCTACCCATTTCTGAAGACAAACAGACTAATCAACGAGGCAAAGAATGAAATCCTCCCAAGGCTGTCGCTGCAGCTACGCGGCACTCCAAAAGAACAATGCACATTGCTGCTAACATCTCAAGTTTGCAAGCGCCATGCAAAGAGACGGGTTAAAATTCCCTACCATGCAGTGCAGCCATCATCAGAAGCCCAGCATATCTTCTGCTCTAAGTAGTGAGGTGCCAGCTCATGGGCAGCACAGAGGAAGAGAAAAATGGAGGAAAGGAGAGAAGGCTGGAAAGTCGGCAAGGAATGTTTCGGGGTCATTAACAAGTGGAGGACCCCCTTCGGCATCCAAACCAATCAATCTTTATCTTCCAGGACATCTTTTTCTCACTCAGCGTCTGTTGAAAGGACTGCAGCAAACCAAGCAGGGGATTATGGGATAGGGATGCAGCAGCGAGCTACAATGAGATTCGTGGGTGGCTCGCTTTCCCTCTGAGTCAGCAGTCAGCTGTTGCCACGCTCTCGTGCTGGGCCGCTGGGCCCCGTCGCCAGAACAGGACTGCGGGTGTCGCCCGGCCACAGGCAACCCCGCACGCCTCCCGCTCGCAGCAGCGCAGCAGCCAGGGCAGGGCCCCGGAGTGTCGCAAATCAGACAGAGGGGGTTGGTTGCTCCTACGCAAATGGGGAACACAGTGAGGATAGATTCTAGAAAGAAAACCAGGTAGACGGAGCCTCAATATGAAAAGTTCAGATTTAGAGGAGGGTTTGGAGAGAGTGTGAGAGCACACACTTAAAAGACTTCCATTCGTTAGGGGGGGAAAAGATGATCTATTTCCTTAGACGTTTCAAGGAGCTTGAAACACAAATGTAATCTGTAAAATGCAAAAACAGCCTAGTTCCACAAGCCTCTACTGTTTTTCCTCTCTTGCTATTTGCCCAAGACAGGGTCCATAAGATACAGTTCTGCAAAGTCAAATCATGCAAATGACATTTCTCTGCTTTTTTTTGTGGTTCTAACCATTCAGAGGAAAATTTTATGGTACCTTTATTTGATTCAGGGGATGACCAGACCCTGTTCCTTTTCTGATAATAAAGTTTATAGTTAAAGGTTGAGAAACCTGATAAACTTTACATACATACAGAACTTGATTTCCTGCCAAGTCATTAAACTTATTTTAAGAGGGTACTAATAACATAAAAATGATCAGTAAGTAGTTGTATAAAAGTGATCAGGTCCTCATGTTACAAACAATACTTTGGAATAAAAAATCTTGTATATCAGAAAGGAATTCACAATTGTTCCCTTTTCTACAGCATTGGAGGCAGAGAACACTATTGCAACCTATTCCTTGGTTAGTTACTAGTTTTAAAGTGATCACTAATAATTTCTATTTTAAAAGACTGTGCATCTGCATATTTGATTACATTTATATTCATCACATTCTTCCCAACCAGTCAAGCATTGCCTTGAGCCCTTGAAGAGGCCTCAGCTCTGCAAAGCGGTGATGATTATCTTTGGTAGGGAGAGGGGGGTCAGAATTCAGTGAAACTGACAGACCCTGGAAATGCACAGACATGCCAAATTTGGCATGCCATTTTTGGTGATACACAGTTCTTGAAAGCTTAGGTTAATACCCTACATTAGAAGTTTTGTGGGTGTTTTTTTTTTTTACAGTTTCATTGAGGTATAATTCACCTACCATACAATTCACTCATTTAAAGTGTACAATTTAATGGATTTTACTGTATTCACAGATGTGGACAACTATTACCACAATCAATTTATTCACCTCACAGTCATTTTCATCACCTCACAGAGAAACCCTGTAGCTGTTAGCTATCACTCTCTACCTCCTCCCCTTACCCCCCAGTCTTTTTTTTTTTTTTTAAGTCAGAGTCTCACTCTGTTACCTGGGCTAGAGTGCCACGGCGTCAGCTAGCTCACAGCAACCTCAAAATCCTGGGCTTACATGATCCTACTGCCTCAGCTCCCAAGTAGCTGGGACTACAGGCATGTACCACCATGCCCAGCTAATTTTTTTCTATATATTTTTAGTTGTCCAATTAATTTCTTTCTATTTTTAGTAGAGACAGGGTCTTGCTCTTGCTCAGGCTGGTTTCGAACTCCTGACCTCGAGCAATCCGCCCGCCTCAGCCTCCCAGAGTGCTAGGGTTACAGGCGTGAGCCACCACGCCCGGCCTATCCCCCAGTCGTAAGCAATCACTAACCTACTTTTTGTCTCTATAGTTTCCTATCCTGGAGTGTCACATGAATGGAATCACACAATTAAATAATATGTGGTCTTATACATCTGGTTCTTTTCACTTAGCATAATATTTTCAAAGTTCATGCATGTCATAGCATGTATCAGTATTTCCTTTGTAGGGCTGAACAATATTCCATTGTCTGGATATAGCACAGTTTGTTTACCCATTCATCAGTTGATGGGGCATTTGAGCTGTTTCTACTCTTTGGCTATTATGAACAATGCTGCCATAAACTTTTGTGTGTAAGGTTTGGTGTGGACATATGGTTTGCTTTAGAAGTCTACAGTTTAATTAGGACCAACTCCTAAAACTACAGGCTGGCTTCCCTGACATAATTTTATGATGTCCTTTTCCTAAGACAGGCCATCACTAAGGTGTCTGATCTGCTATGACAGGAGTCCTCTCTTCTTCTCATTCTGCTATTGAGCCCATCCCAAAGCCAAATTTATCAAATGCTGACCCCTTCCTCAGTACACCCTTTCTCCTGACCTCTCTCCTTCTCTTGCTCCACTCAGCTCAGACTCAATTGACTTGGGTCTCAGTTCTCAGAAGGTGGTGGAGAAGTGGGAAGGATCGTGGTCTTGTTGCTGTGTTTGTAGTTGGAGAAGGTTCACATACTCCTCAGTCTTTCTAATGAACACACTTGTTGAATGTCTAATGTGTTTTAGGCACTGAGTAGGCATTGAGGATACAAAGAAGAATTTAATGATTTCTGAGCCCTTGGGAAGGTCACAGTCTAGTGTAGGAGATGAATTAATAAGCAGGCAGTTGCAATGTGGAGTGGTAAGTGCTTGCTGGCAGGAGGAAGAGGATGCTCTGGGCTCCCATAGGAGGGAAATCCCTGGGCAGGGAGGAACAGGGTGCATTTCAGGCAAAGGGAAGAGATGGCTCACAGGAACTGAGAGAGTAGCTAAGTATGGCTGAAACCTAGGGTAAAAGAGCTGATATTTGTGTCTAATCTTTTACTTGGAATTGGGAATACCTCTTCCATGGAAACAGCATTACGCAGGTTAGCTGGGTTCCAAATACCCTCATCACCATGGCTTAACTACTGTGAGGGTTAACTGGGTTTTGAGGGCTCAGCTGCAAATCTAACAAACATACATAATATTGCTTATTATAGGAAAATGCAGCCTCATTTTTAGCGTATGTCTTGGCAAATGAACACAACTGTTTATAAGTTGGGGCTTGGTTTACCACAGGATGTTTTAGCAGGCCACAGCACCTTCGCCTTGAGGCACTCTGGCAACAGGTCAGGGGTGGTAGTGGCTGTTGGTGAGTTTCTGAGTTGGAATTTACCTGTATTGAGGCCTCAAACAGCCAGATATGGGGCCTCAAGAGCAGAGAAGAGACCTAGATCCCTGGGATTAAGATCACTGCATACTTTACTGACTTCCTGGAACTATCTTGCCTCTCCCCACTGGTTCCTTCGGTGGGATGGATATTAGAGGTAACTGTCATCAGCCAGTTTGACTACGATGTACAATGGGGAAGCACACAGTGCTTAGTGCATATACAGAAGAACAGGACACATGCTACGAAATTGGATTTGGCAGGATCACAGGAGATAGCGATCCAAAATGTATTGACCCTGTTTTATATGCCAGGCTCAATCCAAAGCACTTTATATACAGCCAACCTATCCCTGATCAAGGAAATTTCTCCTAGAAAGCAAACTCTTTAGGATGGCATACAAGGCCATTCATGACCTGGCCTCTGTCTTTCTCATTTTTCTCCACCTTCTGTCCTCCCTGGTCCTACTCTAGTTCCTAAGACATTCCACCATGTATTTTTTTAGCAGTGACTCTCAACCAAGGAATGGTACCAACCCCCCAGGGGGTGGTGGGAAATGCATTTGGCAATGTGAAGGGGCATTTTGGCTGTCAAACTTAGTGTGGGGGGTATGAGGGTGCCACTGACATTTAGTGTCTGGGGCTGGGGATGCCAAACATCCTCCCATGCATAGGAGAGTCCTGTACGTTTGTCCCCCCAGCAAGGCAGGAACACCCCCTTTGAGAAACATTAATCTCAAGGCTCACACACCACTTGTTCTGCCAGGAACACTCTTATCCTCTCCTGCCTCCTGCCCTGGTTAACTCCTTTGACTCCTTCAGAACTCAGCAAAGCCACTACCCACTTTGGGAAGGATTCTCTGACTTCTCTCACCCCCAGTCTGGATTGGGTGCCACTCCTGTGTGTTCCATAGCACATTTTGCCGAAAACTGTTGAAGGTTTCATCTTTTACCTCTAACTCTCCAGCCCCTAGTGCAGTGCCTGTCACACAGTAGCTGCCCAGTAAATACATGGAGAATGACAAAAGTCCTTCTACAAATGAATGAGTAATAGAATATGACATAAAGGCAAAAGTTCATCTCAGAATTCAAAAACAGGTGGATCAGAGACCATTAGGGAGAGGCAGTTCTTCATATCTGACTGGTGGTTGATAATCTAGAAAGGACCTTCATAATACATTTTACCTTTGATCCTCACCCAGACACAGGTAGAACAGGTATTAATACTATTTTAGTGGAAATTGAGGTTTAGAAAAGTAAAGTGATCAGCCCAGGGCATAATGGAGTGGAGGTGAACTAGCGTTCAGGTCTTGTGGCTGGCACAGTTCCTCTCAATGTGCGACAATGCCCCTCCAGGATGTGCAAGAGGAGGAACAGTAATCAGGCACTTCCAGAATGGAACAAAGCCAGCTGATTAAAAAGGTAATGTGTTTCAGTGAGAGATAAATATAACCAACTAGCAGGAGGCAACCTGAAATCAGCAGCTTATAAACTCTGCCTAATGCAATCATTATTTCATTTTTCTTATCTCTGATTTCAAAAAGCTTTGTGGGGAGTGGAGGTAAGTGGGGGTAGGAAGAGATTGGTCAACAGGTACAAAGTTACAGTTCAATAGAAGAAATAATTTCTGATATTCTACTGCACAGTAGGATGGCGATGGTTAACAATATTGTATATTTCAAAATAGCTAGAAGAGAGAATTTTCATTGTTCTCACAACAAAGAAATGATAAATGTATGAGGTGATGGATATGCTAAATACCCTATTTTGATTATTATACAACATATACATATATCAAAACATCACACTGTAGCCCTAATACTGTATAATTATGTGTCATTAAAAAATTTTTTGAAAAAAGACATAAAGAAAACAAACAAAGCTTTACAAAAATTATTGCCCAATGGTCTTATGAAAGAGGATACCAAGGAACAATTATTTCCAGCTTTTAGCTCAGGACTCAGCAACTGGAGAAGAGATAGGATGGGTTTCACAGGTCGGCACTCCAGGTGCAGCCCCTGAAAACCACGCTCTTCCCAGCCAGTCCAGACTCTATGTAGCCAGTTTGGTTGGGTCATTTGGATTAGACCCCAAGAGGTTCCTTTCTCTCTATTGGCAGTGGCCCTGCTGAGGTCCCCCCATCTTCAGGGGTCAAGGTCATTCTTTAGAGGCTGTGGAGAGGTCCAAGGACAAATAGGACTGTCTGAAAATAATGGTGGATAAAGCAGAAAGGACCTTCTCTTTAAGCGTCCTCAAGAAGAGAGAAAGTCCAGGTTGGCCTTAACCTACTGGGGTCATGTGAGTAGAGGTGGATCAACTGGGGAACCAGCTGACCCAGTTCCAACCCGAGAACTCACACCAGAATTGGCTCAGCCTTTGGATTAGCATTTGATGTTATACATTTCACAAATGATTATGTGCCAGGTGGTTTACTAGGCACTGGTGATATAAAAATAAATGATGTGAATAGAACCTCCCCAAATAAACCCTCACTCCTAGGGTCAGGGTTCCCCTCCTCTGACCCACAGTCATGTTGACTGGGGTTCAGGGTCAGAATAGCTCTTCTCAGACAGGCAGCATTTCAGTAAAGGTGACTCAGATGCAGCAGCCCTGACTGCCTGTCCAGTACCTCAGTTTCCCTCCATGTCACCTGATTTCCCACAGGGTGCTGCCCAATGCTGAAGACATATCCAGGTGGGGTCTGACCAGCACACAGTAGAAAGACAGTATCACTTTTCTTGCTCCAGGCCCTATCCTTTTATTAATTAGTTACCTCTGCCTTCATCACTGTTTTCTTGGCATGTTCCTTGTGTTGAATCATATTGAACAGAAAACAAAAATTTGCATCTAGTAACCTTACCCAAGAAGGAATTTTGGGTGGTCTGGTATAAGGTATTCTTATGTAACTCATAATGCTTCCTTTCCTAGCTGCTTATAAGACATCTCATTAATAATCCTTCTCTAACAAGATGCTTGATATGGAGTTCCATAGGGTGTAATTGGTGAGCTTCATTTTTGTAAATGAAAAGTGTATTTCCCTGTCTTTATCTTTGGGAAATTCTCCCTTTCTCTAAATCAGGGTCCATGATTTTGCCATCTTAGCTATGTATTCTCTCAGGACCTGGAATGTGATTTGTTGAAGCCAGGAAATTTAAATTTATTTAGAGCAACTGAGTTTTCTCTTACATTATTTTTACCTATTATATTCACTTCCTAGGCCTCCGTACCAAAGTACCACAAACTAGCATGGCTTGAGACAACAGAAATTTATTCTCTCACAGTTGTGGGGACTGGAAGTCCCAAATCAAGGTGTTGACAGGGTCAGGCCTCCC